ACCAAGTGTGCACTTTGGGAAAATGCAATTCCACTCGCAATCTCTTTTGAGACCGAACTTAGAAGCCAAGATAATACCATGGCATTACAATGCTCCCATTGATTATGTAGGGAAGGATTTTGCGAGTCTTTGGTGCAAGATCTATCAACGATGCCTAGTTTATGTTTCCCCAGCAAGGAGATGCGATCCCACGACTCAAAACAAGGTACTTTTCCTGTCTGATGAGCACATGTGGTACCAGTGCTGCTGCTTGAGTATCTAAGGGATGCAAATAGAGTGGATGAGTAAAATTGATCGGCGCCACAGCTGATGATTCCTTCTTCTCGTCGCTCCAGGTCATCTTAGGGTTTCTTGTTCACGAATGGTTGAGAGAAAAGAAAAGATTAGGGCTCGAGTGATGCAATTTTGCGTTTTTGAAATTTTTAACAGTCTTGGTCTTGATCTTCAACAAATGAAACGATGCACATAATGTGTTGGTCTTGAAATTCAGCCAAGGAAACAGTGCGTATTACATATTAGACCAGTGGGCCCTCTAGCTCTCCCTTATTTCTTGAGTTCACGGCCAGCTTCCTTGAAAGGTGGCCCATTCACCTTAATCTGAATCATGACCCAACAAATAAGATTGAACGCAGGTCCAAAAACCTCTTGCTCTAGATACTATGTTGAGAATAGTGTATCTATAGATAACACTGTAAAATCATGAATGCAATATTCTGAATGAATAATACTACCTTGCACTAACCCAAATAATTACAAATAACCAATATATATACAGACTAAATGGAGACTAAATACAACAATACCCCAAATAACAAATGACAATATAAAACAACAAATAATATGAAAAACATTACATATCTTCAACATCCCGTAATAAGCTCAGCTAAAATTGCCATGTCTCAAATAATTCACATATCCTTCAGTAAATCTTGATCCTTTTATGTTTTTATCACATAAACATTTTTATAGCAACTCTAAGTAATGACCGTGAGAAAATATTGATGAATGTGAAGTTTTGTTTAGGTCAATATTGTACCGAAACGTAATCCATTCCTTTATCCACTTTCTCTTTTGTCTTTTCTTTTCTTTTTTCTGTTTTTTGGTAAAATAAACCTTCTCAAGTGTGCGCAAATAAAGTTAGTTATGACTCTATGTGTGTGTATACACATACACATGCACAAAATGAAAATTAAAGAATTGTAAAGTCATCATAAAATTACGTGCAATTTGTATTTAAAATTAACGTTGGTAGCTATACGATTGTAAATTTAAATTTTAGAAGAAGGGAAGAAAAGTCTTCTTGTAGACTTTTCTGAACAAAAAATGAGAGAGATAAATTAATTAAAAAAATGTCTGTAAACATAAATAGTAAGAAATTTAATTAGCAATCTTATTAGTATTATTATTTTGTATAATAAAGCACTGAGAAACGTCAACGAAAGAAGAAAAGTTAACATAATCAAATATTCAAAATTATTCATAGAATTGTGGAAAGAAAGGGTCATGGGCGAACATGCATGTGTGTTTCAGAGTCATTTTCAGGCATTGCACTAAATAATTATTGTAGAAAATAATATAAAAAACATATTTCAATGATAGAGATGAGTGGTGACGTCTCGATTTTTTTTTTTTTAAGCAAGGCCAAAAATTGAACATTGTTAATTGAAAAAATTGACATTAGAGGAGCCACTCAATAATACTTGAATAAATATAACTTGTAGCACTAAATACTGGATATTTGCATAACAAAGTAGAATACAACATGTGGTCATGTAAATAATGATTCTGTCTGGGAAATAATCCTGCAAGATTTTTCAGATGCCGAAGACCTTTTCTTTAGTCTTAGGTCGCCGGACTTGTCTTTTCATTGGAGGTGTGGACCTATGACATTTATGTTATGTCATTATTAGTCGTTTATGCATATGTGCAAGAAAATCATAACCAAAATCCTACGACAGTGTTGCTTTGAATTAATCTTCTGTGTGTTTAAAAGGAGCTGATCGTAATGTACTATATGTATTTAAATTTTAACATACCTTATAATAATTTTTTATGAAAATAATATGTTTTTTTTTTTGCATTGAAAGAATGCACTATATAATCGCCATTTATATATATTTTTGTTGAATCAGTACTTAAATCACATTAGCAACAAAAGACTACAAGCCTAGCTTGTAAGGGGTTTAGGGAATGATTAAAGATACAAAAGATATTATCAAAGCTATAAGAGTTCCTAGCTAGATAATCAGCATATACAAAAGGGAAAATATCATTCAATGATTGCTGAGGCAACTTAAAATTATTATAATCTTTTCTCATCTAAAATTATCTTCAAATTAGTCCCCTGATCTTGCAGTAATATTTTAAAATTTTTTTGTCCTTGTTTGATACTAAATACTCTCGATGGTCCTTAAATGATATTTTTCCTTATACAATATTTTCCTCGTGCAAATGATGAACTTCCAGGGTCAAATCTCTGTGGAAAAGAAGCTGCGCATCTACTATGATGTCTCTGAAAGAATGACTTTCATTACACCCTCAAGTAACAAGATTTACAGCATCTATGCAATCTCAATATAATTTGACTTTCATGTATCCATTATCCCAGCACAGGCTCAAATCATGGATAATAGCGATAATCGCCATATATTTTTAACAGAATGGTTTACAAAAATCTTCAATATCCTTCTTTAGTTAATAATTTCTATTAAAAAATTTGTGGCTGTTGCATGTTTGCAGCTTGTCAATATATTCAACTAATGCATTAATTCCTCTTCTTGGAACCCAATCAATTATTAACTATATACACATAAACAAAAGAGCAAGTTGGAATAGGTGTTTGGTAAAACATCTACAGCGCGTTGACATTTAAAAGATGAACCTGGGGAGGTGTAGTTAAAGAATGCTCAGACTAAACTAAGAGTGATTACCGATTCAAAAAATAATTGATATATTTGTTTTGATTAGGTCGAAACTAGAAGTGAATACCAATTCAATAATGGCGGCTCTTCTCCGTCCTGCTATAAATAGATCACACCAACGAATGCATTTTGCCACAACAAACACACAATTAAAAGATTAAGGATTTGAGAATTCAAACATGAAAGGTTCAGCAGTGTTATCACTCTTTGCCCTCTTGGCTTTGGCTACCCCAATTGCTTCTGCCTATGACCCTAGCCCGCTCCAAGATTTTTGCATCGCTCTCAATGAAGCCAATCCTCAAGGTACGTAACAAAATGGGATGCGCACACACGCGCACTCACACTCACTTCGTGCGAGTGAGCGCACGGACTAGGATATTGACTACTTGCCAAAGCAGAAGACTTCTTCTACCACGTAACGCCAGGGAACACATCCAACCCGTTGGGTTCCAAAGTGACTCCAGTGGCTGTGAAGGAAATACCAGGACTCAACACTCTTGGCATCTCCCTTGCTCGTGTTGATTTTGCACCATACGGTTTGAATCCTCCTACACTCACCCTCGTGGCACTGAATTGCTGATCGTCATTGAAGGAACTCTCTTGGTTGGATTTGTGGCATCCAATCAAAATGATAACCGCCTCTTCACCAAAGTCCTCAATAAAGGAGATGTGTTTGCATTCCCAATCGGACAGATTCACTTTCAACTCAATGTGGGGCATGACAATGCTATAGCAATTGCTGGTCTAAGCAGTCAAAATCCAGGAGTAATTACCATTGCTAATGCTTTGTTTAACTCCACTCCTCCCATTTCTCCCGAGGTTCTCACTAAAGCCTTCCAAGTTGACAAGAACATAATTGCTTATCTTCAAAAGCAATCTTGGTACGACAATAACTAAAAACACACTATCCACCACCCATCATCCGTGATTCTACTTCATGTTTATTTCTGTTAATTTTCTTATGCAACTCAAGTTATATCTTTGTTTTTAGTATGCAGCTCCTGTTAGATCTTTTAATAAATAAATAATTAAGATGCATGCAGGCTTACGTTGTACCTTGCTCTCTGTAATTTCATTTGGTCTCTGGTCATGCAATTAGTCAATGCTAATTTTAGCTAGCCTATCCACACAGATAGTTCAGGAAGTGCATGAGATTATTTTTTTCCTGAATGGAAAATTTATCATTAATCCTAAAAGGGATACAACTCATCAAAGTCTCTCACAAATAGCTAGCATCCCTTCATTATCTATCTCTTTTCTACAACCTGCAGCTTTCATAGGCCCCTTAAAAAATAGCCCATTGGAGGTCTCTCCCATATCACTCTCTTATTTAATCAATACATATATATTAATTTTCCTTTTTCGACTAAAAAAATTAATTTTCCTCTTAAAGCATCAATCTTAAATGGAATTTAAATTTTTACAATAAACTCCTCTGGGTCATTCCGACGCTGAAATTCTTCCTAGAATATTTGTACCTTCCTCCAAGTCCGTAAATTCCAACATGCACCACCAAAATCCATCCTCAATTTGAAAACGTTTCTCGCTGGATCATATTTTCAGAGAAACAAATAATTGTACGAACTGGCTTACTTACCAAACACGTCAAAATAGTTTAGATATTAGCATTCTTAACGATCAATCTTTAAGATATAGGGACCTTATATATTCTCTAATCTGACTTGGTTCTGTTTTTCTTGCACGATTTTTTTTACCGTGACTATGCTATTCAAAAAAAAATAAAAAAGAGGAAGAAAAAAAGAAAAAGAATCATGCTTTGCTGCTCAAATTAAAAACCAATTGGAAATTTTCCCTCAAAATGTTTGGTGTATTTATCTCAGTGAAACAGCCATTCTAAACTAATTGAGCGGAGGCACATAATTGCCTTTTCTAGTCACCTTGAAACCAATTGAATGATATCTGTGGAATTGAAGAAGTCAATGTCTGGAATTGTTAATTTAAAGCCAAAATAAGTTTCAAACAATGTATATATGTTGTTCTCTTGTCCCCAAACATTAGGCATCATGATTATTTCATATAGATGTCTTCGACATTTACCTTAAGAAAAGAATTTCTTATTAACAAAGTTAAATCCTATTAACAATGCTTCACATGTTCAATTCCTGCCGTATGTAGATACGGGAATCTTTACAAGTGATTTTAAAACATCTCCAACATTAACTATGATAAAGGAAAAAGTTCACACTATTTTATTCAGAAAATATTGTTCACTTCCTTGCGTATCTTTCTAATTTACACCTAGATCATTATAGTTTGAAATCTCAAGACAAGTATTTATTATTGTTGGAGGATGGTAAGTTGGCACAGGCATTTCTCTAGGGAGAGATGGTAAAGGAGCTTCCAATTTGAGAACTTGGATCACTTGCGTTATAGAGGAGGGCCTGCAAGACTGATCTGGATGAGCACACCACATGCCAACAACCACTAAACGTTCCATTTGATACTCATCAAATGTTCCACTTAGCTTTAGATCAGCTACTTCAAGCATCTTTCCCAGTCCGTTCAGTTGCCAAACCCAATCAACTATGGTTGTTTCAGCCTCGTTGCTTAGGTCAATGAGTTTTCTTCCACTTGCAATCTCCAACAGAACCACCCCAAAGCTATATATATCAGTTTGCTTAGTAGCCTTGCTTGTAATGAAATACTCCGGAGCGATGTAGCCCCTCGTTCCGGCTATAACCGTGGTTTGTGACCCCTTTTTGTGATCCACTAGCCTCGCTAACCCGAAATCACCAAGTTTGGCATTGAAGTTTGAGTCTAACATAATGTTGCTGGCTTTAAAGTCTCTGTGAAGGACACACTGATCCCATTCTTCATGCAGGTAGAGTAAAGCCCAAGCCAAGGCTAGAGAAATGTCATACGTCATCTTCCAAGTCAAGAAGCTGTTTCTATGGTGTAGATGTGAATCTAAGCTACCATTTGGCATGAACTTGTATATAAGGAGAAGATCTTTCTTCTCGTGGCACCAACCAATTAGCGGTACTAGATTCCTGTGTCTCAGTTGGCTAATGATCTTCACTTCTGCTGTATATTCCTTTATCCCATGTCTAGAACTTCTTGATATCCTCTTTATAGCAACATCAGAGTCCAAGTCTTTCAAGAAACCCTTATAAACATCACCAGAAGCACCATGCCCAAGTTTCTGTGCCTTTGCAAAGTTGTTTGTTGCCGTCACCAATTCATCATGGCAAAAATTCTTTGGACCACTTGGGATATCACAATCGGGAAGAAGATCGTAAACTGATTCTTCTTCTTCTGCTATTCACTTTGGGCTTTCTTGCCCTTCAATATTGAGAAGTAGTACAGCCGCCATAACCGCAGCTATACCAACACCCATCCCTACGAAGAGTCCAATCTTTCCTTTCCCTGCATGTGAATGTGAAAAAAAAAAAAAAAAAAACAGACCATGACTGTAGGCAAACTGATGAAATGCCACCTTTTGTTGCTGCTGAGAAGCCAACAATAACACACTCTGGTAAGTATTCTCTCAAATCGACTTCATATGAGATTCTGATTGGAGCTCTACTATAAATATTAGTGGGATAGGTGCATAGTATTTTAGTGACTGAACTGTAGTCAATGGCAAAATCAACTAATTGGAAGAAGAGAGCTACACCTACGAAGAATGGCCTAGTTATACTAGAGTTCGTGGAGTTTAAATTAACACCTATATGAATACCTTTTGGGTCCCATCGATTTTGGTAAGTATCAAACTCCACTGCAACAAAGGATGTTGAGTTGACTTCAGTATTTGGTTCCCATCCACAAGACCCAGACCACCTCCTTCCTCAATGTTCTCTGAAAATGGAAGATCTGGATCTGCTAGGAAGAATGCAAATCCATCTGTAGGAACCCTCATAAAGGAAAAAGAAAACTTTGCGTGGAAGTCAAAAAGTTTTCTTGAGGTCTTGTCCCAGAGTTGCTTCATTCGGTTACTTGTGACTCGTCCAGGACTGTAAATATTCTTTTTAACCTGACCCCATCTCGTTCCACCTAAATGGATAAATGAATGTGGATTATTGTTTGAAACATCTCCTTCCAGCTTAAGACCATCTCCCTTGATGCAGGGGTAATCAAAAAATAAGGCATCTGAATCTTGAAGTTGCTGGAGAAGTTGTTAAAAGGATGAAGAAAATATGTGTTATTGTGTGAAAGAAAAGAACGCCAACATGAACTACCATGTTGAGCATGCCTACAAGCATTGTATCTCTGTTATTAATTATAATAGAAAGTCAGAAACTACAAAAGCTCATGCATATTTTAAAATTGTCCTTAGTTACGATAACCCGGAAAATATTTTCATTCTTTTTCTAGTTTTGGTGCTTGGCTTTAGGATATCATTGCAATCTTAATTCTCGGAAGTTCCTCCGGAGTTCAACCTTTTGTGAAGCGACAGAACTCGGCGAATATATCAACGGATTTTTCGTTATCTTTTAGCTTTCATTTGTTTTTTTTTTAAAAAAAAAAAAAAACCAGCGGATTATGAATTTGTTAACGCTGACGATGCTCCTCAGTCCTCAACATTACAGCTCTTAGCTTTCGTATATGGTCTTAATGTCTCCCCCGAGGAAACATACCTGTATGTAGCACACTAGAGGTAGACCACACGGGAATGAGTTACCGTGTGAACTCGACTTGGGTTAACATCAAATGCACGCAGAGAAAAGAAAGAAATGAAAGGAAGTTTTCATTGTCAGAATGTGCTGAGATGGATCTGGTTTCATGCATTCATATCATATGTATGTAACTCCAACTCACATGGAATAGTTTTTCAATTCCCCCCATGACTTTGGAGTCTTCGGGGAATACTAATAGCCCAGTTATGTTGAACATGATGACCTAGACTTTTCCATATGCTGAAAAAGCCCAATTATATCTGAAAAAGCCCAATTCTATAATTGGGCTTGGGCATGGGCTTAATCCATTAAGATAGATAATCCAACAAAAACAAAGTAGAGTTTTGCATAAATTAGACGAAAGATATATATAACAGTAAGACAACCTCTTGATTGTAAACAGTCCATCCAAATTTGGCTAAATTAAAAAATAGTGTCTTGCATCATGAAGTATTGTATTATGTTCACAATATTTGTCTTAGGGAAAATTAATTTATAGGCATTTATAGCTTCTCGAACTCAATTTTAAATTAAGTCTCTTTAATTTATTTTATTTTAATCGAACTCTTATAGTTTGATCTATTAGATTTATTAATTATTGAAAGTTTAAATCCTTTTTTTTGTTAAAAAATGGAATTAAAAAATTCTAAATTTTTATTCAAAGATTATATAACTTTATAATTAATTACATAATTTTTATAATTTAAAATTTATATTATTAGCTTAATGTGTAAACATTGTATTAAATCAAATTTCCTTTTTTTTGTCAAGTGTTAAAATAAAATTTTATATAAACTTCAAAAGTGTTGTTATTTTGGAAAAATTAATCATTCATCAATAATTTTAACTTTATAGGATTAACATATCTCATTGATCAAACTAGAAGGACTTGATTAAAAAAAATAAATTACTGGAATTTAATTCAAAATTTAGAAAAACTATAAGGAAATGTGAATTAATTTTCCCTTCATCCTGTTAAGTAGAATTATTTGTCTTAACAATATTAGGCTGAAATACATATAACCTCCTAAACTTTAGCTTCATTGATTAAAACCTTCGTTGACTTTAAAAGTTTAAAATAGACACCCAAAACTTTTAAACATTGATTACTAACATCAGAATAAGTTTAACGGAAAAAGTCAAAGTCAATGTATGAGTTTAACATCAGAATAAATTAATAAAATATAAAAAATATTACATGTCACTTGCCAAGTAATCTTAATTAATATGATGGCATATATCTTGTTAGATTTAACAGTGATTTTAACAGTAGGGAGCTAATGATCAAAATATAAAAGATAAGGTTATGGTTTTTAAAATTTTGAAGATGAGGGAGGTTATATATCACTAAGCTAAAATTGAGGGGTATGGTGTGTATTTTTACCACAATATAATGTTAATATGGGTGTAACTTGAGACTATATGTTGTGGCGATATGAAGACGGATGTAAAAATCAACTCAAATCTCAAGCTTGTCATCCTGAAGAATATATTCAATTAATGTCCCTTAATTCCTCTCGTTGGTTCCAATTAATTATAAATTATAGGGTAAATTATTCTCAAGAACCAACTTTATAAGTTTTTAATCCTTAAGCATCCCTAATGGTAAATACTCATAATTCTACGTGCAATTAAGTTGGTGCTGTTTGGGTGATAAATCTATTGTTTGACTTGTAAATTTGTATTACTATAATTGTCACATCCTAATACTAAGGGTAAGAGTGGCAAGGAATATGAGATAAACTCATGTTTCATAAGCCTTAATTATCCAAATATTAAGCTATCATAGTGATAGATAATTTATATTGATCAATAAGTCTATGGAATATATATTTATATATAATTATAAAGTTCATAAAGTAATTAACATTCTGTAGAAATTTTGATAAAGTCTTCCCAATAATTACGACCTCCTGAAATTTCTACCGTCAATAAATCTATCAACCAATCAAGAAAAGGAGCTTAGCTCCACACTAGCAAATTACATAATAACAAAATAGGATTAGAACATAACTACGGTATACATGGAGTACTAACCACGTACCATTGTATAATATAATGAATATTTATATCAAAATAAATAAATAAAGCGTGCTTCCACTGTCCAAAAAGCATAGAACCCCTTAATGATCAGCAGGAGGTACAGGGTCAGTTACAATATCTGAGATCAAAGAAATTTTTCAATGAGCAATGTTACAATTAAAATTGTAGGAAAAAAAAAAGAACAATAATAGATAAGAATATTAGATAAAGAAAATCAATAAGATTTCAAACACATATCTATAATTAACTGACAAACTTACTCAATAATAAATCATTGAATCAATTACTAAAGCTGGAATAGAATAAATTTAATCAAAAACCATATTAGTCTTAAAGTGTCTATATATATATATATAAGGGAAATAAATCCAAACAATGCCTTTAAAAGAATCGAAAGAAAACAATAAGTTTTGAAAACCAGTCTAGGAAATCTTTTTCAGAATGAATAACAAGCGTAGCTCGAAGTCACGAAAACAAACATAGATATGAGAAGATATGAGACCATGAAATAAGCTCAAGTACAAGGCTCAGGAAAATAAACGTGAGCATAATACTTAAAAATAACCGCCCCTCCGTTACATCGGCGTGGCTTGTGCACGGGCTAGCACTCTCTACAAGTACCTTGCTAGTTAAGTATACCATGAAATATTAAGGGCTAACAGAATTCCATTAGTGTCCAGCATTATGACACAGTTTCCTCTAATCAAAAGCAAGCATGCACGGACTGAAACATAAGTTTTTAAAATCATTTCTTTGAAATTATTTTATTCATCTAGCAACTTCTCTTTCCATTTTCTTCATGCACAAATCATTATTTTAACAATTCTCACAATTATAAAATTAAGTAATGAAAATTTTTTTTAATAAAATGAGTAATGTATCACATATCAGATTATCAAAAGTTCCTTTACTAAGGCTATGTCTAAAATATATATAAATAGAATAAGACAATTTCAATATTATAATAGTTCTGATAGAAGTAGGGTAGGAAATGAAGATTTCATAAATTATAGAGAATTAACAGCAAAGATTTAAATAAAGGAATTTATAAAAAACAAACTTTTAATAACTACTTAATTGAAACGCTACTTCACTCAATTGAAGAGTTTTCAAAATTTCTATAGCTTGCTTCTGTTTAATTTTTCACTTTAATTTCAATGTTGCCATTAATTTCCTATCAATTAAACATCATTCTAAAACCACGTATTTATTCTCTTCTTAATGTAAATAAGTAAGTATTTAACAAGATAATCATCAACAACTAATAAGATTTTCTCTACCCCAATAAGTTCTCACTACACATTTCAATTTCACTTGGCAGGAAATTTCCCAAACACTTGGTTGCATTCAAATTAATTCCAAACAATATCACAACCAACCAGTTCATTATTATATTAATAACTTAACAATAACTGGGCAAGAGCAAATGAAAACCTTTCCATTCTTTTTATGCCTTCTTAGTGCTCAATGAATCACCACAAACCAAATTATAAGCAATTCCATGCTCTACAGTATATTAACAATTAAAATTTTAAGAAATAATTAATATAACATTATGTAAATTAAATTTAAGTTCCAAATATACTTAAGTCAATTAAATGATTTAACAATTCTTAATTCATTCTTATGCTTCCTTTAAACTTATTAAGATACTATACAAGAATATCATGTGATTCCTTTTCCTATTTTGGTATTTTCATATTCCAATCAATATTCAAATCACTTCTCACATATATTCCTTCAAGTTATATTATACCAATTTAACAATATTATTTTTACCAATTTCTTCTTTCAAACATTTCCACAAACATTTTGAGGGAATTTTCCATTAAATAAGTCATGAGACAACATCATAATAAAACAACTTCCTGCACTAACCGAAACAACACCTCAATCCTTCCTAAAAATATCACAACAACAACAATGAGGAACAGGGACTACATCAATTGGCCAGAGAATGAAGAGAATGATTTGGTGTTGCTGTTGAAATCAGCACATGGTCGACGCCGACGAAGGAAACGAGACGGAGGAAGACCAGAAATCGCCGGCCAGCAAAAAAAGCAATTGAGATTATCATACGCATACACAGGACGTTCAGCAGCTAAGGAGGAAAGGAAATTGAATACCACACACGCACATGCCAACACGAACCAGGGAAGGAGTAGAGGGCGATGACAGGGGAAGAAAATCCGGCGACCTACCCACTACAGCGGACAAACGAAGGCGAAGAGGAGGGTGGAAGCGAGGAACCACATAGACCGACGGCAAGGAACAAGGAACCGAGACCGAGAAGAAGAAGAAGAAGACTGCGATGATTTTCGGACGCTCCCTTACTCTTCCTCTGTTCTGGCGTTCATATGGGAGAGAGAAGAAAAATCTCATCAAAAGAATATTTGAAAAAATTATAAGAAAGGCACAAGAAAAATTATTAAAAACACATAAAATTTTTTATAATTTAAAATAAAATTAAATTAAATTTTTACTTAATAGAATTTGAACTTTAGACCTCTAGATAATTAACCAGCACAACTGTACAAGTTCCATTAGGCCATCCCTTTTCATTTATTATAGAATTAAAAAAATTAAATAAAATATTAAATGGGAGAAAATTTTATTTAATTTAAAATTTAAAGTTATTACAATAATAGTAATAAATTCGGGATTCTTGAGAATAAATAACTTATTAATTTGGCCATCAAGAATAATTGTCCCAAGTCTATATATATATATATATATATAAAGGAATGAGATAGAGAGAATTTAGAAAAAAAAAATTAACAACATAAGTATACTTAGGGCCTATTTGTTTTCTATTTTTAAAAATTTGTTTGGATAACTATTTTTTAATTTTTTATTTTCAAAATTATTTTCGTTTTTTGTTTTCAAAAAAAATTAATTTGTTTCATTTTATTTTTCCAATTTTTAAAATACACTACATTTAATTATTAAAAATTATAATTATATTGATCAATTTTCATTATTAATCATCATCATTAATTATATATAAACATCACTATTAATCTATTTTTTAAATTTTTAAAATATTTTTAAATTGACATAATTAAATAAATTGTTATTTTATTTTATTTTAAAAACAATTTTAAAAATGTATTATAAATAATTTTTAAAAATAAAAAATGAGAACACACACGAAACAGGGCCTTAGTAATTTTGTTGTTTCGCGTGATAAAGAGCTGAGCGACGTCGAAAGAAGAAAAGTTAAAATAATCAAATATTCAAAACTATGCATTGAATAGTTGAAAAAGAAAGGGCCATCGGATCATGCATGCGTGTGTTTGAGGGGGACGTCAAGTCCGACAGGATAATTATTTGGGGATGGCAGATGAAGAAAACTTGACTTTCCAAGTCTTAACATGCTTCGTCTTGGAATCAATCAATTATATAAATATATATTTATATATTCTTCTGATCATATTTATAAATTATTTTTAATATATTTTATTAAAATTTTCCAAAAAAATATCAAGTTTATCAAAAAATTTAATTTTATCTTACTAAATATATATATTTTAATAATATATTTTTTTCTTTTCTATATTTAATGGAAGATAAAGAAAAATTTTATATAATAAAAATTTAATAATATAATTTATAAATAGAATAAAAAATATTTTTACTGTCCTCTAAATATTATGGGAGAAAACAATGCGCGCAGAGAGAGAGAGAGAGAGAGAGAGAGAGAGAGAGAGAGAGAGAGAGAGATGTTAGGTTTATCCATATCCAACGGACAAAGATGCTGAGGGGAGTGAGACTGAAGATATCAAACGATGACGTAACCACTTTTATTTTTTAAGAATACCTTCTACAGAAACAATCAACTTAGTCAAATCTTAATATTTACATGACAACTTCTGTATTTACTAGTAGTTAATTAGGTAGGACTTAAGGGTAATTAATCTTCTCATTTGTGACTTGTATATATGTAATTGTCCTTAAAAATTTTGATTGATCCCTCCAACTAGGATAAATACTTATGTCTCGTTCAGTATCGTGGAAGTGTTTTTAATGGGAGTATAATTAGAAGTAGGTTTTAAAAATATGTTTTGCATGATTATGCAAACCTTATACAATTAATGTTTTGATGAATAAAAGTATTTATATTACTGAGAAAAGTATTCATAACTAAAAATTCAAACGCTAATATATATAAACTTTAATATATATATATATATATATATAGCAATTATAATGTGTTAAGAAAGTGACATTTTATTATAATTTTTTAACGAATATGGTTGAGGTTGCAATTAAAATAGGAAAAACATGTGATGCTTTCTGTGAAGAAAAGTACTAAATCCCCAATCTGTCACAAATTACACTTTACCACAAGAAAACATGTTAAAACAATATACTTGATGCATGGGATGCGGATTGTCTACAACAATCTCTTGATTGCAAAGAGTACAGTCATCCAAATTATTGGTAACTTGAAAAAAACAGTGTTTGGCGTCATGAAGCATTGTATTTGCTTGCGCTAGAAACAATGTTAGGCGTGCAACTTTAGGCCTAGAGATGTGAAGAAGACCGACAAAAAAGTCAACCCAAAACCTAATTATATCGATGGTGAACGGCTAAAGCAACTTTAATTAATTCAATTAATAATTGATACCGTAATATATGGATATATTTGTTTGGAATAAGTCGAAACTAAAAGTGAATACTAATTCAATAATTACAGCTCCTCCCTTCAGCTATAAATAGATCACAACAACAAATGCATTTTGCCACAACACACAAATCAAAGAAATTAAGATTCTATTTGGTTACTAAAAATGAATGGAATGAAAGTGATTGAAAAAAATTAAAGTAAAAATAAGATAATCAAAAGATATGGTAAACCACATTTATAAGAGAGAGGAGCAATTTAGTTTATAAGATTGAGAATCATGATTCATAAAATTTTTAGAAAGTATGATAATTCTCACATTTGTTGTTATATCAATGAATTTTATCATACTTACTGTAAGAAGGAAGGGTAATTTAGTTCATTTTTATACTAATTTTTTAATTCATTTCATTCATTTTTAATAATCAAATGAGATCTAAGGGTTTGAAAATTTCAAAGAAGAAAGGTTCAGTGGTGATCTCTCTCTTTGTCCTCTTGGCTTTGGCTTCCTCCAGAAACAAGTCAAGGAGAAAATTAATCAATTGGTATGCACATTGTGATTAACATTTAACAGTTAATTATTGCACTCATCGATGCAGAATTAATTAGATTTAATATTTGTATTTTATTAGAATCATTTTAGGATTTGATTTGAATAAATAGAATCTCTTACTAGGTTATCTTTTAAATTATTTTATAATATTTGCATTTAATTATTAGGATTTATAAAATATTCTGCTTTTAATGTTTTGATTTCTAGGATTAAGGTTAAGGTTTATAAATATCACGTTAACTCATTCACTCATGTTTAACGACTTTCCTCTACCCTCTATGTTCTAGGTCTTGCTGTGCTTTTCGTGTTTGACATCAAATATCGCCATAGCAAGATTGACTCGGAAATGAAATGATGATAATGTTGAATCCTAATTAACTGCTAAAACTAATTTATGTTCTATAAGAATGAAAATGCGAAGAAAATCCTTAAACATATACTCCCTCCGTTCTTATATATAAGAAGTTTTTTAGAACATTTTTTGTCCTTTTATAAGGGGTTGCTAACATATTTTTTAATGAATAGATCATTATATTCTTATTAAATTAAAAAGAGAAAAAGATAAGTATTCTCATTAATTTACTTTAAAAAAATTATTTTTTATTTACAATAATTAAGGACAAAATTGAAATGTTGATGTGCTTTTAATTATATAACTAACTTTTATTGGTTTGCATGATTCAGTTAAAAACATCTTACATATAAAGACGAAGGGAGTACTGCTTATTATTTGAGTGAAAACAATTTAATGATCGATTGTAGACTTTCTTTTTCTTTTTAAACAAGAAATGAGAGAGATACTTAGCAATATTATTGAGAGAAAATCACATCTAAAGACTATTTAAGGAAATTATTCATAAATAAGGATCAGTACGAACTAGATTGTTATTAAAATAAAAATGTGACTAGTATTTTCTTGAATGAGACTTATGATTAATCTTTATTTATGAATAAATTTTCTTGAGTGATACTTGAATATGATTCTCCCTACTATCATTATTATTATTTTGTGCGATAAAAGCTCTGATCGACGTCCGAAAGAAGAAAAGTTAAAATAATCAAACGTTCAAATCTATTCATAGAATAGCAGAAAGATAGGGTTATGGGAACATGTGTGTTTCACACACACACACACACACACACACACACACGTCAAGAAACCATCTAAGACAATAATTTTGGTAGCAGGTAATTAAAGAAGACTGAAGACTTTACCAACTCTTAACTGCTTCAGTCAAGGAATTAATCAATTATATATTGTACACACCAGATGATCCTTAGAACTATATTAATGTTATAGATAATCATCAGACACAGAGAGATCAGAGAGAATATTTGAAAAGATATACTGACGATAGCTGAGTTGAGTGGAAGAGACGCCATTAATTCCTTTTAAGCAAGGTTGAAAATCCAAAAAAACTTGTTGATTTATAAAATCATATTGGAAGAGACACTCAACAATACTTCATAGTAAATATTGGCCAAAAGGGAAAAAAAAAACAATGCTTAAGTAAATCTAACATGTAGTACTAGATACTAGGCTTCAGGCAAAAAAAAAAAAAAGTACTAGATACTAGGTAGTTGCATGATAAGCACATGAAAGCATGTCATCATGAAAGAATTTGGAGTTTGAATAACATACTAAACTTAAATAAATTAAGTCTGTTAGGTTTTTAATGTCGAAGACCTTTTTTTTAGTCTATGGTCCACCGACTTGTTCTTATCCTCCTTTTTAAAATTGGAGGTGGACGTATGACATTTATGTTATGTTATTATCAGCGTTTGTGCATGCATGTGAGAGGCAATTAAGAAATTATTTGATTAATGTATATTAATTAATTTTTTAATAATATTAATTAATTTTATGATACTATATATATCATCAATACCAAGAAACATAACTACTCCGCCTAGGATTCTACATTGTTTCCAAAATTCATGAGTTATATACATGCTGGCCATAAAAAAAATGCAGAAGTTATATGGAAGCGAACATGCAATCATAAAAACCATACCTATTTATGCACAAGACACAAAGTTATGGAAGGTACAGTTTCATAGTAGTAATTAATTTTAGTGAAGGGAAAATACTGAAACGTCAAACAATTTTAGGAGTTTAAATATATTAACTACCCCATCTATCTCAAATTAAGAGATAATTTGAAATAACATTACATATACTAATAAAACACAGTAATGACA